GGAAAGAGGTACAGAATCATGTGCAAATACAGCTATTTAGTGTATACAAAACAAATATTATGCTTTTTTCCCTGGAAACATAAGAACAGAATGGTGGAGTGTGACTTTTCTCATTTTGTTAATTTGTTCCTTTCTCTATGTTTCTGAATTTTCTAAACTTTTTGTACATGGTAGAATAGATTTTAGGTAATTTTCTCCTTTATATTGCCTTTTTTTTAAATTTAAGAGAAAAATAAAGCAAAAGCTAAAATATTTTAACAGTTTTTAAAGGAAGTCTTTCAAAGAAGCCCAAGAACAATCAAGTCCATCTAATCTGATCCTGTCTTTCTTGCTACTTGCTATGGGAACCTGTTCCTCCAGCCGAGCTAAATAATGTAAAGTTTCTTCAACATGATGTCCTCTGTCTTGTCATATGCCTATTTTGTTCCCTACTTATGACATACACTTCCTTCTTGTCATATCTGTAATTTCTCCTCATCTTCAAGAATCAATTCAATGTAGCCTTTTCTAGAAAGTGTTTACTTTTTAGGGCAGAGTTAAATTCCTCCTTTTTGGATTCATGTCCTTTTTTATACTTTTTTTACAGGCTGTACATGATTGCTGATTATTATTTTTTTCTGTCTTTTTTGAAGGACTGTATACCTCTAATGTTCAGGTCTTTTTATTCATTTCATTAAATTAAAAAAAGTGTAGTATCTGGCATGGTGTCTCAAAAACATAGTGTCTAGTATGGTGTCTGAAATATAGTACAAACTTAAAATGTTTGAAGAATGAATTAATTTTTAATGAAAATGATTTATCTTCAATCTAAGAGTGGTCAGAAGGACACTGATATTTCAGCTCCCCAAGGAATTGTCCGTAGTAGTTAAAAACATAGCTCTATATAAGACTGCAATGTTTAATTGTCAGCTTTGTCCTTTACTAGCTATATAATCTTGAGTCAGCTATTGAATTTGTCCATCTCTCTTTTTCAATCTGTAAAGTGGGGATAATACTAGAACCTACATTATAGACTTGTGGATTAAATTAAATAAAACTTGTAAATTTGTATCTCAAAATTAATGAAACTTAGAATAGTGCCTAGAGCACAGTAAAAACTAAATATATAGTATCTCTTAAAATCAGACCCATTCTCTGATCTTGATAGAATTGGAACTAGCTTATGTCTTTATTTGCCCAATGTTTGATGGCAGACACGCTGGCTGCTGAGATCTTGTCATTGTCTCGCATATGAACCTTGAGGTTTATTTCCTTGTGTTGGATGTCAAGCTTCCATTTTCCTTTTCAGGTCATACTTCCAGTTTGTGATTGGTGTCAGTGAGATAGGAGTCATGCTCCTGATTCTTGAATATCTATCTTTGTCTTGTAGGCCTTCTGTTCTTGAGGGCTCAGCTTATATATCATTCTTTTGATGCGGCTTTCCAAGAATATCTCCCATGATTGTTCATGAATCATGATATGTTATAGTTGTTTACTTGTTTATATTTCCCACTAAACTATGCTTTTTCAGATCAATGATTCTGTTTCATTAATCTGTTTCCTTAGCACCTAGAACAAGATCTAATTGTCTATAAACATGCTAAAATCTTAAAATATGTTCATAGCATGTTTGAATGACTATTACATTTTGCTTTTTAAGACTTGAAAAAAATCCTTCAGCTAAGATGCCTCTCTCGTAGTTCCTTTTGTAACTATGGTAAATGTAAATTGCTGAGCTTTTTTCAATTATTTATTTAGTTGATAGACATTAAGTTTACATTTTTACTAATTGTATGCTAGACAAAACACTATGAGAAAAACAAATATAATACAAGACATATGCCATGCCATTGAGTAGTTCACGGATTAACAGGAGACACAAAGCAAAATAAGTAACAAACAAGAGCAATATAAATGATGTGTCCAAAATAAAGGGCAGAGAGAGAACATGGTGTGAGTTGTAGATGGGAGCATGTTGTATTGGCCATTATTTAACAACTAGACCTCAGAATAAAAGCCTCAATTTGTATCATTTTCCAATTTCATGGTGTAAATTCTCCCACCATGGCTGATTTCAAGATGCAGTTTAAGGTCACTGAAGCAAGGTTGGAAAAAGATGTAGGGATTAGGCCTTGTTAGCCAATGCAGGCTGGCTCCAACACATCCTAGGTGGGAGAGATTGTTATAGACAGGCATGTTCTGGGCAGACTTCATGGAGGAGGTAAAAATTGAAACCAGTCTTAAAGACTGTGTAGAAATTAGGTAAATCAAGGAATATATGTTCCAGATTTGGAGAATGGTATAAACAATGCATAGAGGCAGGAATGAAGGTGGACTATTGAGGCAAATATTTCAACACACAGTAGGTGCTCCATAAATATATTTGTGAATAATTGAAAGACAGTGAACCAGCCATCTGACTGAAGAAATGAGTCTCTGTAAGAAGAGACTGGAGAGGAAAGCTCAGGTGCGCAGTATTCGGTGGCGGTCCGCAGGTCTCTATCCTTCTTTATAACGACGCTTCTTCCTTCCTCTCTACCTCCAGAATCTTTGTAAGCTTGGCTCTGGGGGCTGAATGAGAAACTGTGGTGCCATCTGTTTATTACCCTTGAATTATTTTAAGTAATCATATAATTATCTAATAGTAAGATAGGCTTAACAGAGAATTCTAAGAGGGCAGAAAATCTTAATTTTCAAAGATGCCAGAGTGGCTTCTAATAGCCATGTATCTGCATAATGGTTTTCTTTCTCTTGAAAAAAAAAAAAACATGTCCCCAGACATGGAATTCAATTACAGCATTTTCTATAAATATGCATAGAGGTGATCTAGTGAAAGATCAACTTTTCCTCTCATCTGAAATATAAGTATGGAATTCTGTGTTTGGACAGGGATCAGGAAACTTCCTGTAAAGGGCTAGAAACTAGACATTTTCCACTTTGTGGGCCATAGGTCTGCGGATAAAGTGAAGGTGCCTTTGGCCAGGATTCTCACTTGGCCCTGGTCAACTAGCTCACTACACACTTGTGGGCAATACGTTGTTATCGACTCTATATAAAGAGCTCTGCCCAGTGTTCTTTGGGTGACATGGTGGCATGGCTGCAAGGCTGCAAGGCTGCAGGAAAGCAGAGCAGAGGCTGGAGTGGTGGCAGCACCGAGGACAGAGACTTAGATGGCTTTGCAGGCAGAGAGGCCCAGAGGCAGTGACTGGCTTGCTGCCTGCAGACTTACTCTGAGTGGATGGGATTCTAGTGATTGACCTGCCACCATGGAAATGACTGTTCTACTGTCAATTCTTAGGTCACATTGAATCCATGGTGAACTTGTCTGGTGCTGAAACCCATTGGCAAGACATGGTCTCAGTCCCAGCAACTCAGCTCGGCCATTGTAGCATGAAAGCAGCCATAGACAATATGTAAATGATCAATCTGTAGCTGTGTTCCAATAAAATCTTATTTACAAATAAGGCAGGAGATAGGTTTGGCCTATAAGACATAGTTTGTTGATTCCTTGCCTAGGGCATCCAGGTGTCTAGGAATTCTGTAATTCTTTAAAGTTCATGGGACAAAACTAAAGATCAAAAATGCCAAAAAATCCACAAGGGCTATATGATGAAAAAATGACTCAGTAGAAAGAGTTCAATCTATCTATTTTGGTAAAATGTTTTGCCAGCCCCCTTCCTCTTTCTTTTATGTATGGGTATAGATGATCATGATGTTATATTGTTATAATTTTGGTGCTTATACACTTTCTTAAAAACTAATTTCTGAATAAAACTTGACTTGGGATGTTACTTAATTCCTATAATACAGAGTTGCCATGACAGCAATAAGAATCTGCTTAATAACCTTCCAGACGAATGGTCATTTTCTTGTTTGAGATTATGTCCTTGTTCCTGGTCGCAAGAGTGTGTTGGAGATTATGATAAATTAAACATCTAAATTTCAGTTTCAACTTCCTTAGCTTCAAAACATGAAAAATAGAAGTTGTTATATTTACCAAAGAGAATGACAGTATTATCTTAATGGCAGGTATAAATCTGGGCCCTTTATTCATTGGCTGTTGTGAGAAAATTAACTCGGATGGGACCAAAAAAAAAGAGCCCTACAACCGTCATCATGACTTAAAGCTTTATATCCTCCCCATGTGAAGAATTCCAGAAATGGACAACTGACTTTCCTTCATGTACTTTCTTTTCTGTTACCATCATCTAAGATTAAGTCCAAAATCTATAGCTAAGACATTGCATATATAATGGAAGTGGGTTAGTAAGGAGGAAATTTTCCAGGAAAATTGAATCACATTAAACCCACTATTTGGGCCACATGTGCACCCTGTCTGGAGAATTAATCATAATATGTTCTGGCCAGTAGTTGAGATCAAACATTGTATCTGCTTATATGTGAGTGTCTGAGGCTGGAAAAGAATAAATTAAAATAATATTGCTAGAGAGAAAAGAAATATGTTGATGAGAGATGTAGCAGATTAATGTCTTGTCCAGATGACTTTAGATGCCAGCTGTGTGTGCCCAGCGACCTGATTCTACATGCTTTTTCTCCTAACCACATGCCCCTGCAACGTTCAAAAGACTGCCCTTGGGCACTAGAGCTGCATAGCCTTTCTGGAATTAGCTAGTCCCTGGGAGCTTCACAGCTCCTACTGTATGGCAACCTATAGCCAATGGCTATTTAACACAGAGCTACAAAAACTCAGTTCCTTTGTTTTAAGGCAAGACAACTAAGGTGTCTTTTACACTCTTCCAAGATCTGGCTGGGTGTGGAATTTCAACTGAAATTGTACTCCCTTCTTCTTATCCTGCTTTGCCCATTCTCTTACTGGTTTCTCTTTAACAAAACACTTTAATAAAACATTTGCATTCAAATCCTGAGTCTAGGGTCTATTTCTGGCAGAACCCAATCAAAGATGATAGACCACCATAATTCATTAGCTTTTATGTAATAGCTAAAGTCACACTATATTTAACACCATTGAGCACATAATTTATGAAGAAATGTCAACTAACCTGTCAACAAATACATGGTGAAGAAGAAAAATGGGATCGTTGGCAGAACCCTGTACCTGAGACATCGTTCCATTCATATAGATGTGCAGGGCATTGTGCATACTGCTTTGAGAGGCATCTGCTATCCCAGTAAGTGGACTAGCAAATCCTGTTGGTCAAAAAAAAGAATGGGAAAAATTTAGCTTGTCTTAATGGTTGAATATCTAAGTGATTATTTCATTTGGTTTACAGGCTACAATTAAAAGCCTAACTCACAGAAACAAAATCAATAATAAAATTCATTTTGTATTTCAGTTCTTTACATTCTGGATACCCAGTGAGTATTTAATAGATCTTTAGAAATTGAATGGTGTTAACCTGGGTCCAAGGGGCTGATTAACCAGGTTGAATAGGCTGAGCCAGTTTGTGCTCCCGCCTGGTGCTTTCGCCTATATTCTTCCTTTAGGTAGTGAGTAGTATTAAGACCTGTTATAATAATCAGCATAGTCAGTCTCATTTTAATCTGTAACAGTGCTTAGGACAGATCTTTCCAGCCTGTTATGTATCTCTTGCTTTCCAGTTCTGGTGGTTACTTTTAATTTTGGTTTCTGATTCCAGAGAAAGCATGAAACTTGTAACCTTCCACATTACAATTCATCTTCAACAGTCTGGGCGACATTGGGTCATGATGAGTTTGATTTTGCAAGGTAATCATTTAATGGAGTTAATCAGAACTCCATTAAATGGTTCCATTCATTATATCAGGGATACTGGTAATGGGGATAATAATTATAATAGCTGTAATTTTCTGAATGTTAATTTGCTATATGCTTTTTGTGATTTCTGTCCTCCAATCTTTACAGCAACTCTGTCAATTAGAAATTGTTATCCCCAATGGAAAGAAGACCAAACTAAGGCTCAGAGAAGTTCTGAATTTCCTTAGGCTACACAGGAGGTGGTAGAGTTGGGATTTTAACCTATATCAATTAAACTGCAAGAGCTGAGCTCTTGATATTTTGTCTTCTCTCTCACACACTCCCTGGGAAAAGAGAGAGTAAGTTAACACTTTAGAGTCCCATTTAAGCAAAACATAAAACATAAGTAGAACTCAGATTCAGAAAGCAGACAAAAAAGTGAGAGTAACAAAGTTAAAATGTAAGCAGAAAGCAAATTGGGGAAATAGAGCAAGGGGTGTATTATTAAGCTTCGAATTTGGAAATCAAACAAGCAGAAACTGTGTAAGATTACAGTTTTGAAAAGGTAGGATGCCATCGTGGAGGTCTGGCTATGGAGGGAGGTTTATGCAGTGAGGATTATTTTCTTGTCAACTTCTTCATTTTTAAAGCTGTAGCTCTTGAATTTGCATTTGATGTCTTATCTCCCACCATTGTGGCTCACAGTATTTCTGCACTCTCAAGTCTGTGATTTTTTTCCCTCCTTCTGAGCTTCCTGCACTCATTCTTGGAGAACGTACCAAGCCCTGCAACCCTCTGGAAGCCTAGCCTAATTGCACACACTTCTGTCCCCTCTGAGCTCTCTGTCTATGGAAACGTTTATGATTATATGTGCATGGCACTTAACTATATGCAGCAATTTTTCTAAGAGCTTGACATGATTAATTTACTAGAATCTTCAGAATGAACCTACAAATTAGGTACCTTCATCATCTCCATCATGTAAACTTGGAAAAGGGGGCCTAAGGAGGTCAAGTAATTTGTCTAAGATTAAAAAGCAAATTGAGGAGTTAAGGTTAGGACACAAACCTGTTTTATTTTAGAGCTTAAGCTCTCAAATGCACTGGTTTACTGCCTTTCCTCTGTAGCAATAAATCACATACCATGGAGGACAAGCTTCTGTAGAGCAATTGTCTTCAAGCTTTTATCCTTGACTGGCATCAAAGGAAGGTTTTAAAGCCAAGTTTATGTTGGCTCTTACATAAAGAGGTTTCCTTTTTTCACTTGATCTCATTTTTATTTTATTTTCCCTTAGAATTATTCCTAATTGTTATATAAAATATTCTTGATTTTTAAAAAACTCTTTTAGTAGTCTGTCATAAATAGATTTGAAATTGTTTTAATCATAATTATTAACAGTTTCACCAGATATGACTTCAGGGATATTGCAAAAAGTATACTTTTAAAACAGAAGATTTATTATCATTTAAAAAATGTATCCACCTTATTCACCATAATCCATATCAAACTACTGCAGACTGAAATTTTATGGGGTTTCCTTTTTTCACTTTATCTCATTTTTATTTTATTTTCCCTTAGAATTATACCTAATTGTTATATAAAATATTCTTGATTTTTAAAAAACTCCTTTAGTAGTCTGCCATACTTTCCTACAACAAAAATAGGTACAAAATTAAAATTACTTTAAAAAAATTTTATGTGGCCAATAATCTTATCTTTTGAATTAGGTTATTAAACATTTCAGTAATAAACAATGTTTTAAAATCACATACATATACAAAATATTTTACAAAATAATTATTGAATATAAAAAGCAAAATTATATTGAAAATTCTTTTCTTAATACTACTGATGTAATAATCTTACTAATATTGATGAAAGTTTGTTAATTAAAAATAAATTCATATACCCATGGATGAATATTATTCATTTCTACAAATGGTAAAAGTTCAGCATAAATTTCTACTCAGTTTTAGAAAATAGATGAGAAACTTTGTTTCATTAATTAGATGTGAATGAAGATTTTTTGTAGTAATTTCACCTAATTACTTGAACTCCTTTTTATTTACATATGCCAAAAATGACATACTGATCGAGCATCAAAGTAATCTGATCCATCATCAGATAACTCAATCAAGAATTCTTTAATGAAAACCGTGTTCTAAATTATGAATTTATTTATAAACCACCTGACTTGCAAGACATTTGCTACCTATTTATTAAAGTCATACCTTTTAGCGAGAGTGGCACCAATATTTGGAATTCTCCATTAGTTTGGCACCTTGCAAATTTTTGCCTCTTCTGGGAATACACTGTGTTGAGAATGGATTCAGGATAGGTGAGAGGTATGCCCTCTGAGAAGTCAGAGAAGGGAGATCATGAAAAGGGGAAGACTAAGGAGAACCTTCAGAAACC